CCTCCGCCCCCCCAGAAAGCCCCCCTCCCGGCTGTGCACAGTCACCCCTCGCTGCTGGGTCAGGGCGAGCCTGCTCTGGGGGCCCTGGGAGCCGGAGCGGGAGGGACAAGCTCTGGCTCCTCTGAGCAGGCCTCTGGCCTGAGGCCGTCCCTTCGCCCCAGCGGGTCCCCAGGATGTGAGGACTGAGCCCCTGGCCCTGGGGAGGTAAGCATCCCAGGCTGGCACCAGGGCAGACGACACCCCACGGGGCCCGAGAGACGCGTAGATGGGAATGCGTGACTCTGTTCAGATGTCCGGGGGGGCCTCCTGCCCTCTGGAAAGGCGACGTGGCTGACGTCCTTTACAGCCTTTATTTAAACGTTGAAATTTAGAAAAATTTCACTCCTATTTTCATTTATTTACATTCAATATTATTTTGTATTAGTTTCAAGTTTTATATTAGTTTCAGCATAGTGGTTAGACAATCATATACTTTACAAAGTGTTCCTGATATTTCCAGTAACCCACCTGGCCGGTGCAGATGGCGGCCCGGACCCCCGGGGGAGCGCAGAACTCTCCCCGGCCAAGGGGAGCGCCCACCCTCTCATGTGCAATGGCCTCGAACTGTGAGCCTGCAGAGGTTTCTCCCACAGGGCTCGGTCCTCCTGACCCAAGTCTTTAAATGTCTTCGGAAGTATCTGTCTTTCCTCGTCTACGTGTGTGTGACCCCAAACTGCCTGCATCAGAGGCGCCCTGGGGGGTGGCTCACTGTCCAGTGCTGACCCCCGGGCCTGGCTGGGAAGTGGGTGAAGGGCGGGAAGTGCACAGGCCCCTGGAGGCTAGGAGGCTGGTGCCCCCCCATTCTCCTCCAACCCCCTGGTTTCCAGAACACTCCTTTCCTCCCTTGGGGAGGAGCTGGCAAGGGAAGAAGCGTGGCCCACCCGAGCCCAGGTGGCCTGCCGTGAGCTTGCCCACAGCCCAGGGGGCGAGGAGTGGGCACGGCCGCCGTGACTGGGGAAGACTTGGCCGACGCTATGACGTCGGGCAGCTACCAGCGGTGGGGCAGGGAGGCTGGAATACAGTGTGGGAACCTGCTCCACACACTACACTCTCTGCCTCCTCCTGCCTCCCCAGACCAGGGTCCGAGGGGCAGGCGGGATCCACGGGTCCTCTTCTCCCCCTTCGGCCTCAGCCCCTCCTGCTGGCTGGGCCAGGGGGCTCCCTGGCCACGGTCTGGTCAGCACCCGGTAGCCCCGCCATGACTGGGGGACCCCCAGAAGGCTCTGAGGCCCCACAGACACTGCTCAATGGCCCAGACTCAGAGCTCCACTGGCCCCAGCCTGCCAGCAAGCGCCTCCCCACCCATCGTTGTACCTGGGCCCTTTATTTCCTATTCCCTTATGGGCCATACGGGGTCCCTTTGTGCCCCCGCCAGAGAGAGCCGGTGCCCGACCCCCCACCCCTGCTGGCAGCGGGGCATAGACCACCCCAGGGCTCACCCTGGCTCCCTGGTTTGGGGCCACGTTCGTGCCCTTTCTTTTCTCCATCACTCGGTGCTGCTGCGACCCATGGGGCCGGCCGGACCCTCCCAGGGGGGCTTTTGGGGAGCAGGTGGCCAGCCTGAACCAGTGCACAGGCATCTGTTAGAGGGTGCGAGAGGCCTCGACATCGGAGAGCACGGTGGTCTCCGACACGCCTGCGCCATCTGAGAAACCAACCGAGCAGCTCACGGAGCCTGTTCCCTACAGCCAGGCTGACCCCACAGCATCCTGGGCTGGCCACGTCCTCCCGTCTGTAATGGAAGGTCTGGCTCTTCCGTGCGGTTCTGCCTCCTCAGGCTCAGCCCCCCTCCCTGCGTTTCCAGCAGTTCCCTTCCCTCCTCGCCTGTAAGCTCAACCCTTCATGGTGGCCGGGGGGCACAGGGCAGGGCGGTGGCTCATAAAGACATCGTCCGGCTTTTATTATTCTCCTTATTTAACTGCCGAGGGTCTGTCTGAAGTCGGGGCAATGCCAAGCTGTGTGGCTACCTGGGAGCAGGCTCAGCCAGGAGCACCTGGGCTGTCCTCAGGGTGAGCGGGGGCGCACCTCCGCGGACGGCCGGGCGGAGGGGATGGCGCCCTCGGAAAGGTCTGGAGCCCCCGTCGAAGGAGCAGGGCGCGGTGTTCAGAGACGTGCGCCTGTGTCCTTTCTCAGTGACTGTGGTGAGGGCTGGGCGCTCACCCGGGAAGGAAGCCCGACTCCCCTGGAGAGCGGGCCCCGGGCTGATGACGGCGTCGCAAGCACCGCTGAGGGTGCGTGGGCAGTCGTTGCCCAGCTGTGCCGTGCAGCCTACCCGGTCTGTCCGGAGGCCTCACCTCCGCCACAGCCACGCTCCGACCTGTGGCGTGGACTCCGTTATTCTTGTCCCCTCCAGGCCCCGCTAGACAGCACCCGTGGCGTTACATAACACGCCTTAAGTGGCTGTGTTTTGCAATCTTGGGTGCAGGTTTCTCTCTCTCTCTCTCTCTCTGTCTCTCTCTCTCCCAAATCAAAACGACAAGTCCAGAGGCTGACGGACTGGAGCCTTATGGCCCTGGCAGGGACGGGGCGGCCCTGGGGGGAGGCCGGCCTGGGGCCAGGGCTTTCGGGGGAGCCCCGTCCCTTTCCAAAGACGTCAAGCCCCACGTCTGCCTGTGGGGCCTGAGTTTCGCCTCCTGTCAGGGCCAGATCCCAGAAGACTATTTCCTGTTTTGGAAGATGGTTGTAATTTAAATGATTGTTTTAATAAAAATTCTAAGCTGACACAAGTTCGTCTCGGGCTTCCTCCGTCTGCTTGCTGCTCAGGCCCACGGAGATGGCAAGACCAGTGGGTGCCGACCGCCCTCAGCGCCTCACTGTGGTGCTTGCAGCCTGGTCCCAGGGATCCCTGAGCAGCTGCTCCGACCCCCACTCCCAGCCCTCCATCCTCTGCCTTTGGTCCTCGCCCGCCTGCCCGAGAGCTGAGTGCCTGACCTCTGTTCCAGGGCTGCCCGTCCCAGGAGGCTTCGCCTGGGCGGGTCGAGTAGGGAGCCACCCAGGGGTAACGATGAGCTGGCAGCGGGACTCTGGGGGGAAAGGTGTTGGTGAGAAGATTGCTGCGACGCATCCAATCCAATTTCTTGCGAGTCTGAGGAGGCGACAGCTGAGCCACCGGCACATTCTCCACCTCCCTCTCCGACTACCCAGGCGGCGAGGGAGGCCACCCCAGCTCCATCCCCTCCTGTACCTCCCAGGGCTTCCTGGCAGCCTGTCCTTGCTGCATTATGGCAGGAGCTGCGGCCTCAGTCCCAGCTGGTAGGAGGGGGTGCGGGGGGGGCAGGAGTCCGGAGCTCGCTTCTAGGCAGGCAGCTGGGCCGGGCATCGGCAGCACGGTCATCAGCACACGAGGACCCGGGCTGACTCAGAGGAACCCCACCGCGTCCTCCCCCGGTTTCCACTCGATGCCCATTTCTCACTGGGACGCTCGCCCCAGAATAGCTCCTGGCAGGCCGCCTCGGAGCCCAGGAAATCAAGACATCTCCTCGATTCCGCAGCCGGAGCCGCCGGAGCCCGGCTGGCCCGTCCGCTGAGCCGCACACTTGCTCTGTTCCACCCCTTCCCTGCAGAGCCAGGCCTGGGCTTCCCGCCGCCTCTGGGCGCTCCCTGTCTGTCAAGAGGGTTGACAGTGATGCCTCCGGGCACCTCTGGGACAGCGTCAGGGTAGCACGAAGGGCAGATGCAGAAAACACTCCGCTTCCTGTGACAAAAGGGATGAGGAGAGGTGGCAGCATTACCATTATTTACAAGTAACCAAAGCAGCGAAGACACACGAAATCTGTTCTTTGCACCCAGGCAGGCACGGGGAGGGCTGAAGAAACGACACGGCTGAGGGGCTCAGGGCCGTCCTGACGGGGAACTCAGAGAGGCCTGGGTTCAAGGCCCGGCTCAGCCACTTGCCAGCCGGTGATCCCAGGCAAGTTACCTAAGCTTTGGGCACAGCAGTGTTTTTATCTATAACAGGGGTATCAGCCCTGGCCGGTTTGGCTCAGTGGATAGAGCGTCAGCCTGGGGACTCAAGGATCCCGGGTTCGATTCTGCACATGCCTGGGTTGTGGGCTCGATCCCCAGTGTGGGGCGTGCAGGAGGCAGCCGATCCATGATTCTCTCTCATCATTGATGTTTCTCTCTCTCTCTCCCTTCCTCTCTGAAATCAATTAAAAATAAATAAATGAAAATAAGAGGGGTTCTCTAGGATGCTGTGGGGATGAGTAATGTCGGATCTGAGGAAGGTGGCTCTTTTTCTAGGTGTTTTCTCGGGATGGGGGGCTGCAGGGGGAAGCAGAGAACAGAGCAGGGGTGACCCAGAGGCGGCCCTGGCTCGGAGGGCCCCAGCCCACCTGTGGCCCCCACACGGGCCTCATCCTACCACCTGGGCCAGGAGCTTAATGAGCCTGCATCTGGCCTGTTTGTCCTGCCGTGTTTGCCCAGTGCCAGCTGCAAAGCCCGGGAGATGATGGATCACCCAGGCGGGGGCTGCCCGGGAAGGAGGCTCTGGTTTGTCACATTAATACTCGCGGCTCCGGTCGATAATGGACTGGAGGCTCCGGGCGGAAGAGGGGCCGGGTGGGCAGCCCTGGCCGCTGCCCCTGGAACCCTTCCCAGAGCACCTGGGCACCAGGGAGGCACCGCGGCGACCAGCGACCTAATTTTCTCTTAAGCGGCATCGGGAAGAAGTCCCCGTGGAGCCTTGCCCATTTCCAATATAAATAATGTAATTCCCCTGCCTGCCCGGGAGGAGGGGGCAGCCTTTGATCTGCAGGAATTAAGTCAGTAAACAAAAGTGGAGAAGGCTGCTGGGGTGCAGGCGGCTCCTGGAGGCTCCCACTGTGCCACCGGCCCTGAGAGAGAGGGGTCAAACTCGGGCACGCGGAGTGGCCCAGTGGGACCGTCCCCCTCCCCCCCATCTCCCTGAAGTCTCCCGTTATCCCCAGCTGAGGCCTGAGACATCCTGGGGCCCCCAGCACACACCTGCCCACCCTCCCCGACAACAGCGGCCCAGGTTGCATCATGCATAATTTCCAGTATCCCCCCCGGGGCAGCCACAGGCCAGAATCAGGGGCCCTGCCCGGACAGCCAGCCTCGCGCCATCCCCACTGCTAGCCCCACTCACCTCTGGCCCACACTGGGAGTGGCGATGGTCGGGCCAGCCCTGAGTTCATGGGAAGGGCGATGGGCAAAGGGGCAGGCGGTGGGCATCACCAACTCGGAGCTTCCCGCCGCCTCCCCCCGGAAGGCAGAGGGTGGGGTGACGTGTGCGCACTATCGGCCGACCGGGCCTGCAGTGACAGTAACTGCGCCCTAAAACCCAGGGGGACCTCCCTTTCCGGCCCCCTCCCGGCCCCTCCCCGGCCTGGCCCTCCCAGCCACAGCTCTGAGGCGGAATCTATTAAGTCCCTCATATTAGCCGGCACAGGGGAAGCAGCCCTCTTTCATCTTAACTGGAGTGAATTTGCATTAACACCTGGGGAGTTCTGTTTGCCTTGAGAAGGCACATTGCTATTCTGAGCTGCACGCTGCGGAGCGCGGTGCAGTATCCTCGTCTTTTATTAATACGGCTGCTCTCTCCTCCTCCTCTCTCCCGGGGAGGGGGGGGGCGAGCCACCGGGGATGCCAGGGCTCCCCGCCCCACGGAGGAAGGCCCCAGAAATGCCGAGAAGGGGGAGCAGGGGCACCTTCCAGGTGGGGGAGCAATCCCGCCCACGAGGCTGGCTTGTGTGCTGCCCCCCAACTCCAAGAGGCCACCAGGCTCCAGGGACGGCCTCCACCCCAGCCAAACGCAGGGCCCCCATGGGCCGCGCTCTGCTGGGGGGCTCCTGAGGCAGGGAAGGGGCAGGAGGTGCAGGTAACTCAGAGATGCTCGAACGGAGCTGGCGGACCCCCAGAGTCGCGATGTGGACGTCACAGCGTTGCATGTGGACCTGACTCCGTGACTGCCCCATGTCTGTCCCCAGAGCCGGCCCCGGACCCTCCGGCAACAGGACTGTCTTCGGCCGCAGGGCAGTAGCTCATTGATGCAACTTGGGGTGATCGCACCCGGGAAGTGTTGATCTAGGGCGGGACGGGGGGTGGGACAGATCTTGGTCTTCAGGTCTCAGATCCAGAGACCCAGGTTCTAGAAGGAGAGCAAGCGAGAGCAGGGAGGAAACCATGAACCGTGCCCCCCGCACCCGGCCCTCCACCCACGTGCCTGCTAGTCTTCCTGGAGGCCCGGCTCCTCCCCTGAGTCCAGACCTGGATTGGACACGAGCCCCTCTCTCTCCCTCTGGCCGCCATGGGCTCAGGAGCTGAGGGGGGCTGAGAGTCCAAGATGAGCAGTGGGACCTCCCCACCCTGAACCCCCCACCTCCTGGTCATCCCAGGACATAGGGAAGGGGGGATGTAGGGCAGGCAGCAGGGGCCAGGCCCCATCTCCTGGGGGTGGGGAGCCAGGCAGAGAGAGGCACTGAGGGTGGCACAGCAGAGGGGGAGTAGGGTGGGGACCCCGCCCCCCCAGTGCTGAGCAGGGGAGGGGGCTTGGCCTCTCCACCCTCACATCCCTCTCCCTACGACGGACCCTGGCCGCAGGTCATGGTGGGTGAACGGGGTGGCGATGCCAGGTCCTGAGCCGGTGCTTGCCGCAGGAGCGTTTATGAACCCGGCCTGCCACTGGGGGTTACACAGCATTTGCTGGGAGCGCGGCCAGAGGAGGCGGCTCAGGGAGGCAGGGTGGTCACAGGCCAGGGGCGGCTCTCCCGTGGCTCTCGCTCCCCCTCCTGCACCCCGGGCAGGGGGGCTCCTCTCCAGACCACCCTGAACCCCCCCATCCAGACCCCAGCCTGCGGGCATGAAGAGAGGGGCAGGATGGGGCCATGGGGGGTTGGGAGGGGGAGAGGGAATCCTCCCAGCACTGGGGGTCGGGCCCTTGTGGGCTGACAGCAGGAGAGGGGCTGGGGCAGCACCCTGGGACTTGAGGGGAGTCTAGATGGAGGGTCTGGAGTCAGGGGCTGGCATCAGCATTCCACGGGCATCCCGGTCCCTCCGGCAGCCGGCCCCAGCCTGGGTCCATGCCAGGTACCACGGCTGCTCTCCCGGTGACATTTACCAGCCCGGAGGTGGCCACCCAGATGTGAAGGCAGTGCCAGCCTGAGGCTAACCCACTTCATTAGAACCGGCTCCGCTCCGTTGGCAGCCCCAGCCCAGCCCCACGGCCTGGCTCAGGAGGGCAGGCCCCTCCCCTCCCCCCTGCACTGACCCTGTCTGCTGGGGCCAGGGCCACAACATCCCCCCAGCAGCTGCCCTGGCCAGGCACCGAGGAGGATGAAAATACTAGCGACGGTGATGCGTGTGGGCCTGGGCACACGTGGTCTGCCTCTTCATCCTCAGCAGGCCCAGGAGGGCCGCGTTGCCCAAGGCACGCCCCCGCCCCAGGTCGCACCCCGGTGGGTGGCATCAGGAGGTCCCAGGAGAGCCCTGGCAGCCGCCATCCCTCCCATGTGAGGCGGGAGGAGAGGCTCAGAGAGGCCCAGCGACGTCTCGGAACTGGGGTTTGAACCCCATCCTTCCCTACTGCCTGGGCCCATTCTGCTCCCCGCTCAATCCCAGCTCAAAGCAGGCGGGACGGAGCCCTCCCTCACGTCACCTGGGTGGCCCGGGCCTCAGGTGGCTCTGGGCACCACAGGTGTGGGGAGGCCTGCTCCGGGGCAGAGCCAGATTCTGGGGGAGGAGGTGGTGGTGGGGTGAATAGGTGATG